GAGCGGGACAGTCCCCGATGGCCACGGACGGTGGGGCCGCTCCGCCTGGCAGAGCCCAGAGCAGGAGCCTCACCATCCGGCATCTCACGTCCTTTCTTCTCACTACATATTCTTCCTTCTGACAAACCACACTATTTCACTCAAAATTTCAAAGCTTTCTTAAGTGGAAAGTAAACTTCCCACCAAATAATAGATAATATTAGTAAAGTGCTTTTAAGATGATCTGATATATAATGAGTGCCTTACCAGTGTTTGTTAAGTAGATTAACAAATCTACTTAACAGACGAAGTAAATTTACTCTAGGGACAAAGAGCTAGTTGTACTAAAAATAGGACAAGTATTTGTTCAAGTGTTTTTGATAACTGACTGAATTAGAGGTTGCCATCATACTAGCCACCTGCCTGCTATAGCCCCTTGTGGGTAAATGTTTTCCAGAGCAGCATCCCAGCGAAAGCCAAGCAACACCCCCATGGCAGCTGCGACTGTTTGGGTCCCAGCAACTGTACGAAATCTTGGCTATGTATTAGAACCATCTAAGGAGCACAACCTAAAACAATTAAATCAAAATCTCTGTGGCACAACCCAGGCGTAAGCAACTTGTTTTTAACTTCCCAGGTGCTAGTAAGTTTGAGAACAACTGCTCAAATTTTAATATGCTCATGAATCACCTGGGGATCTTGCATAAACACAGGTTCGAATTCAGTAGGTCTGCAGTGGGACCTAGGATGTTGTATTGGTAAAAAGCTACAAGGTTGTGTAGCAAGGATCTAGCCCAGAGAGTCTATGGAAATGTGTTTCAAAAATTCACCGGGGTATTGTTTTTAATTGGAAAACCATCTAAATATCCATCACCAAAAAGGAATGAATTATGCTATATTTAGACAATGGAACACTATACAGTATTTTAAATGAATAAAATATGGCTACATGTATCATCATATGTTGAGAAGAAACAAAAATAAAAATATTTGTATATTGTTGAGACATTTATGTTCATGTAATGCAAGCATAAAAACAATATTATCTACTGTTTATGGATACATATAGCATTAATATAACACATAGGGAAATAACAGATACCAAATTTAAGATTATGGGTTTATCTAGCCCTGGCTGGTGTAGCTCAGTGGATTGAGCGCGGGCCTGCGAACCAGACAATCGCGGTTCGATTCCCAGTCAGGGCACATGCCTGGGTTGCAGACCAGTTCCCTGCAGGCCAGTTCCCAGCAGGGGACGCACAAAAGGCAACCATACAGTGATGTTTCTCTCCCTCTCTCCTTCCCTTCCCCTCTAAAGATAAATAAATAAAATATTTAAAAAAAAAAAAACAAGAGAAAAGATGTTAGTTATCTGAAAGTTGCCAAATGGGAGGGGGAGGAGAAGAATGGGTGAAAAGGCAAGGGGACTAAGAAGTACAAATAGGTGGTTGCAGAAGAGCCATGAGTATGTAAAGTACAGCAAGGGAAACAGAGCAGCCAAAGAACTTACATGCACAATCGGGACATGAACAATGGTGAGGGATTGCCTGAGGGAGTGGGGAGAGTGGGAGTTGCTGTGTGATAGGAGGTAAAGGGGAAACATCTGGACAAACTGTAATAGCATAATCGATAAAATATAATTTAAAAAAAAGATTATGGGTTTATCTGCCAATGACTTAGATTGGAACTGGGGTTAGCACAGTGGGCTTTGGCTGAATTGGTAATGTTTTATTTTTCTCTAAAAATATCAGAATAACATATAGTAAAATGTTAGGGCTTGATAGTGCTGGGGAACTCGGTGATTACATGTCTGTCTAATTATCCTCTAAACTTTGCATATATTAAATATTTCATAATTTTTAAAGTTTTAAATATTTTTACACCCATGTTCAGCATTATCCACAATACCCCACAGATGGAAGTAACCCGAATGTCCATTGATAAACGAATAGATAAATAAAACATAGTATATACATACAATGGAATATCAGCCTAAAAAGAAAGGAAAATCTGACACATTCCACAACATGGATGTACTCTGAGGACATTATTCTAAGTGAAGGGAAGCGGTCACAAAAGACAAGCCCTGTAAGATTCTACTTACATATTAATTCTGTGAAGTAAAACTCACAGAAAGTAGAATGGTGGTTGGGGGGGCGGGGAGGTAGCGAGGCACAGGGTGTTACTGTTTGTGAGGGAGTTTCTGTTCGGGAGGATGAAAGACGTTCTGGAAATGGGGTGTGGCGGGGGGTCAGTTGCACCACATGAATGCACTTAACGCCACTGATGTGTAGACCTAAAAATAGTTAACATGATCAATTTTGTTATGTGTACATTTTACCACAATTTTGTAACTATTTTTAAAAAGATTTTATTTATTTTCAGAGAGGGGGAAGGGAGAGAAACACTGAGGTACAAGAGAAACATCTCTTGGTTGACTCCTCCATGCCCCAAAATGGGGGCCTGGCCTGCAACCCAGGCATGTGCCCTGACTGAGAACCGAAACGTGACATTTCAGGGTGTAGGCCAGTGCTCAATCCACTGAGCCACACCAGCCAGGGCTTAAATTTTTCTTTTTAAAAGATCATTATTTTATATATTTATATATAAAATCAATAGAGGACCAATGAAAGAAATTTTGAAAATCATACAAGGCAATACCACACAGTCAGAAAGAATGAGACAGATTCACGTGTCCTATCACAGAATGATTGCCAAGGCACACTGCTCACTGAGCAAGAGTGTCACGTGGATTTCCCACTCACGCTGCACAGAACGCCTCTGGGAAAACCACTAAGCGACTGGGAACTGCTCACCTTGGGGGGGGGGATATTGGACATGCGTTCAGGAGGGGCTCAGAACTTATTCAAAAAAATTCAACTAATTTTTTTAAAAGACCAGTTCTCTAAATTGTCCATACTACTGAGTGAGTAAAAGGAATAACTAGAATTCACACCTAATAAGATCCCAATTCTAAGTAAGTGAATTTCAGCAAAGTTAAGTGACCTGCTCAAGAGTACGCAGGTGGCAGAACTGCGGGACCAGTTATGGCAATTTACTTCTTCTCAGCGTCGAAAGTATTTAATAAAACACTTAAAAATGTCTCCTTATGTGCTGCCAGCTTATTGAAGCAGAAATCATTATGTCCTTCCTCCAAATAAATTGTTTAGGGAAAACTTAAGTATTTTGTAGTTCTTATCAGTATGATTTGTGCATGTTTCATAACATTTGCCCTTGTATATTATTTTTAAAATGCTCAACAATCTTCTGTGATGAAAGACTAGTCCTTTCTTTCCAGTTTGGGGCTTCCACTGACCATTATTTTATTTTCGTTCTATGTTTGTTGTTCACATTCCTGAACATGTATGGGTAACAGATTTTTTAAAAGCAAAATAGATATTTTTAAAACATCACGAAAAATCCTACACGTGTGATATATACATACATATGCATATATATGCCTCCTGATTTCCAGTCAATGACTTTTCTCACTCCGCATACTTCAGCAGCTGAAACTGTAAAAGAATAAACTCCTCAACACCTCCCAGAGCAGGGGCGTCAGACTCATTTTCACCGGAGGCCACGTCAGCCTCGCAGTTGCCTTCAAAGGGCAGAATGTAACTTCAACTCCTTAACAGTTAAGGAGTAGTTACAGTTATACGGTCATTAAATTATTTTGGCCCTTTGAAGGCCACCTCAAGGCTGATGTGGCCCCCGGTGAAAATGAGTCTGACACCCCCATCCTGGCGACGTCTTCCCTTGCTTTATTTCAGGATGAAAACTCCTCTCCTCCTCTAAAGTGGTTTTTAGCAGATCCTGCTTCCAAGGTAGTGTACCAACCACACTCAAACTGCTAACTGTAAAATTTAGAGAGTCCACAGGGTGGCACTAGATACCTTTGGTCAAAGTCCATAGCTTACCAGGCTATTTGTAGAAAACAAGGATAGAGAAGAGCCTCTGGCAACAGCAAAGGTTAAAAACTGAAGTTAATATTAAAGACATCTTGTTCCTTTCTGGAGGACAGCTGCCAGCCAAAGCACATTTGAAGCTCCAGTTATGCCTAAAGACGTCCAAAATACCAAGCGGAAGTTACAGACCGCCTGGGGTGGCGCGTATCACTTCCAGTGGCAGATTCACGCTGCTCCTTCAGACACGCTTCCCCACCAGTATTTGACATCCTAAACACGTTTACATACACTCCCTCCTAATACACACACCTCGACCTCTCTCTCTCTCTCTCTCTCTCTCTCTCTCTCCCTCACACACACAACAGACTATTTTCAGGTGATTTTTTTTTGAGGGGCAAGGGGTGGTGGTAAAGGATTCAGTATTACATCCCTATTAAATAATACTTACATTTCACAGTGGGCTAAATCTCAATTCAGATAAAAATCTTAAAACTTATCACACACAGACCTACTTCTGATCTCTCTACAATCTTATCAATTTTATAATAGATATAAAAGTTCATTGCTGGTCTTTTACAGACAGGCAATTTTAAAGTATAATATCCAGTGCCTGACTGTGAATAGATTTTCAGCCAACGGATAAGCCTCAGAAATGCCTGGAGGAAAAAAAGAGCTGAAAAGCTGTACTGATTTAACACTTTTATTTGATGCCCATTATTATGGCTTTCTTTTAAGCTACAAATCTCTTGGAGATGATATAATAAAATGTGCTGATGCCTTGAGTGTTTTGAAAACACAGTCAATGTGATCCATTCAGTTCATTCAAAAACATTTTTTTGTGTGCAGACAGGAATTTTTCCCACGACAGTAAGTGTATGTGTCTTGCATCCCAATTAAACAAACCATAACAGCACCTTCCAAGCCTACCATCCACTCTTCAAAATGAGCACTGAAATTCAGAAGCATATCGCAGGCAGTAAGCCAGAGTGCTTAATGACCATACCGCAATACTGTATTGTATTTTTAAGCGGATTTTAAGAGTATTTTGTATGTGAAATATCCGAAAGATTAATGGATATATGCATGTCAATATGTTTATTTCTAAATGCAGCAGTTATGATTGCGCTAAGCTCAATTTTTCTCAGAATTTGAAGGGAAAAATTTTAAAATATATCAATAGAATTAAGAACTCCCTCCAGTCCCAGGCTAACTCCAGGGAGGTGGGGCAGCTGGGTTAATTTCTACTGCAAGCGCAAGACCTGACAGTACTCCAAGTGAGCTCTGGGAGTCCGTGACGGATTAGGTGCAGACTGATGAATGGTGAACCCACCGCCATCAACCACAGGCATTAAAACTAACACCTCCGTGCTGACAATGTGCCTGTTTCCTTGACCTCCAACTCATAACCAAACAATCTGTGGACAAGACTTGGAAACTGTTTTATTAAATTGAACACAAAATGCCTGTTATAACAATGTCAAGCCTTTATCAGAAATCAGTACATAGTGAGGATACACAGCCAAAATGAGCCATCAACATAAGCAGTATAAATTTTAAATAACTTTTTGATTTCTATATTCAATATACAGAAGAAAACAAAACCAAAGGAGCAATTTTCAATTTCACAATTCACAGTTGATTGGTTTAAACCCCATGACATTTTTTTGTCATTTCTGTAGCCCCAAAACAGAAACATTTCCGAAGTAGAGACTGGCACTTAGCCCCAACAGCATACACAGATGTTAAACCCCTGCAGGACATTTAGAAATAATTTTAGGAAACAACTCCAATTTCACACAGTTCTGGCTGGCATGTTTTTTTTTTAGTTATATCCTTTACCAGAGACACTGTTCTCATGAAATAGCAAAAACTGTTTTACAAGCTTGCCATGCCCTTAAACTAAGGATTCTACAGTCTCCACTGGTTTCCCATGACTTTGTTCTCTAATTTAAAATAATAACGGCACTAAAATGCAACCTTAACAGTGAAAGCAAAGTCGTTTTTGCTTCTGGATCTAAGAGCATACATCCAAGAGAGGCAATGTACTGCCCTAGCAGATACATGGAATGCTGTGGAGCAGAGTCTGACATACTCTAGTAAGGCATTTCAAAGCAGACACACCATACCCAAATTAAACTGCTGTGGGCAGCCAAGGATACCACAAAGTGAACACCAATTAACACAGAATCAACACGAAATTCTCATAAGATGACTCACGAATTTACAAAACCACAGAAAGGCTCAAGTAGCAAAAGAAGGCAAACAATGACCAGCCACTCGGAGTTTTCTTCCTGCGAATGCCAGATTTGCAGAGTAGAAATAAACGTTGTATGTTCTTTGCCCTAGGATAATATTCATTCATTCTGACACATTGGGGTTACTTTTCCTTTAAAAAATAGATCATGTAGAGAATATACATATAATCAGTGATAGAGAACATTCATTTTCACTAGTGAGGGGGTCGCTTAAGCACTTACATAGAAAGAGTTATGAATGAATCATGAAAGTCATTGAAATGCAAAAATAAATCTGATAAAACCTGCATTAGTTAGTATTCAACAGTAAAGTGATATTTTTTAGCAATTTCACTGCATGGTTATAATGAGGGAATATAACCATGAAAAGATCTTTAAGTTCAAAAAGTCATGGAACGCCTAAATATAAAGTCTAATTAGTAAAAATACATATTTTCATCTTAAGGGCCCCAAAGGAAGTGTTATTTAGAAGCCATAAATCTTACCAAACTAGCACAAGAATATGAATCAAGAACATTGAAGTTTCAATTCCAACCTACCCATTCCACCTTGGTACCCTGGAACAAGTCACCTACCATTTTTCCCACACACCAAAAAAAATGGTGTAATGAAGACATATGTCAAAAAATTTTTTCCAGACAGTACTAGAATGAAGCTAAAGATGTTACTAAGGCTCACAATTTCAACAACTCACTGTGCAGTGCAATCACTTCTGATCCTGCTCATTATGGCTAGAAGAAGCCTGGGCGATTCCATTCTCGGGAAACTCAGAGGCTTTATATAAATTCATAGTTTTAACTTTCTAAACCACTTAATCTGCTCTTCTAGAGTTTTCAAAACAGCTAATCATCTATGGTTTGAGTCTGCACTTTCTGGCAGAATGGGCGAAAGTATGAAGGAAATGTGACGACAGAAGCAGCATCAGGTGGAAATGAGGTATAAGCTGACTTCCCCAACCCCAATCAGGAACTCACAATCTTTTAAAGCTGCATAGTTCAGCAAAAATACATCGTAGCAAGAGGGATAAGGGAGAAATCTTATCATGAAACTTTAAAATACATGACAACTAAGCATTTAAAATGTCCAACACAAGAAGACTTCAGTTTGAAGTGTTGTCTTCCCTCATTCTAAGCACATACAAACATAGAAACTGGAAGAAGGCTGAAGTCCACGGGAGAAAAAGTGTATGTTCATTGGCTCAGGTTATCAACTTCATGAGTTCAATAAACACATGATTTACATTTATGACTGAGACACTACCTTTAAAAAGATACTGATATTTAAACAAGTATAAAATTCTAGTTAATGATACCTATGCTGAAGTGTTTAAGGGAAATGTATTGTCTGAAATTTACACTGAAGTATGTATTTAAAATAAACTGTGGACTGAGGGGTGAATAGACGGGATGGACAGATATGTAGTAGTACAATAAAATATTGACTATAGAATCCAGTAGTGGGTATATTGTAAAATGTTTTCAGCTCTGATGTTTGAAAATTTTCACAATAAAATGTTAAATTTCTACAATGAAATTAATTTAGTAGTGTGTTTTAAAGGTTCAAAGTACTCAGCAATTTGGAATTTTAAAAATTATTTGAAATAGGAAAAATTTTGTTGTAGAAGGCCTCAGGCCTGGTTTGTGAAGGTGCTTTTTTTGATGTGGAGACAAAGTAACACAATTAGTATTTATTGTGCATGACCATCTCTTCCCCCACTTCATCTGCAACACACAGTTCCCTCCCCTTTACAGAGACTGAGTTTGAAAAAGAACACGGGACGAAGTTTTCCCAAATTCAGTGTCAAGCTCTTCCCAATCCACACACCACCATTCACCTAATGTAAATGTAATGTAGTTAAAGGTGGAAAGTACTCTATGACCGCTGCCACCCTAGGACACTGAATTCATCTTCAGGGTGTGTGGTTTCTGACCAGTAGAGGTAACAGTTTCACTATCAAATTGAGCCCACATTAAAAAAAATGTAGAACACAGAATTCATATAGACCTTTGCTATTCCAAGCTCCTGTGTTTAATGAACTGTGATTAATGGTAATAATTCTATCATCTCTTCTCTCAGTGAAATGCTAAAACTTGCTAAAGGCACTCATAGTCTGGGCTTAATGGAGACAAGGTCGCATGGGACCATAAGCCAGTATTTTTTTTTGGTACCTATCCAGAAAGGGAGTTTACAAATGATCCCCCCATTTATAATGGAAAGAAAAAGTCAAAAAAGCTATCCGAAGTAATGTCATATGGGAAGCTATTTACACAACTCTTTGTCCATCCTGTTAGTTTGCTGGTAATCAATCACTCACAATAGTAAAAAAAAAACAACGATAACAACCAAAAACCTAAAGGCAACAACAAAATGCTACTATGTATGAAACTCCTGAATAGTGATTTGGCTGATAAAAAAAAGTTGGTAAGGTAGAATATTTTTAAACATCTCTTCAACAGCCTGTATTAAACTTCTGCCTACATTGGCAAATTCACTGACAGAACATTTCTTTATTTTGAAAGCCGCTCTACTGTCCTTACGTGCCTCACCAAGTTCTTCACAGAGTATTTACAGCCTAAGTTCTGAGACTAAGGAAACAAAACAGATTAGGCTCCAAACCCACTGTGCCTGGGCCGCTCTGCAGAAGTGCCAAGAGGGACAATTACATGTCTCCCCTGGCATAAGCAAACTCACTTTCCACAGGTCACTGGGCAGTCCTCAAACTGTCACTGCTCATCATTCCAGCCAAGCCAAGAGTGAAGGAATCATAATCCCACAGCTAATCCTTAAAATCTATCTACAGAGGAAGATTTATATATATACACACTTTATCCTTGTTCAAAGTGTGGCTAGGCAGCTATAGCGAGTATTACCAGTGTCACAGAACAGCCCTGCAAAATAAATGGAAAATCTCATGCTTCCTTTAGTTGTTCAAGTCAGAGGGACATAAGGATGATCTCAGGCACAATTCTCCACTCAATCTCAGGGTTTCTAAAACCTAAATGGTTTTCTAAGTGTATCAACACATTAAAAGGGAAAAATAGTGAGGAGTTGGAGAAGGAACTTTTTCAAAATGGATGGTATTAAAAAAAAGTATTCACTTGCAGATTTCAGTGCAGTGAGAGACAGGCCAACAAATGTAGTAAACCCATGCACATATGTACACGTTGCAGCGTGTGGTACACAAAGACCAACAAAGTATTTCCTGTTCCAAGTGGAGTCATAAGGTTACATGGCACACACAATTTTGTAGCTCAACTTTTGGGGAAGAAAAAAGATACTTCAAAGGCAAGTGCAATCCAATCTTTTAATTGGAACATGGACTTTTTCCTTACAACTTCTTGCCCTCAGTCTCTTAGTATAGAGTTTCTAACTCTCATCTTCTAACATTGACTTCAAAAGACAACTTAAACAAAGATATTCACAGAGAAAAGAGACTTTGATGCCATGAGGTCTTTCTTGCAGATGATTACTGAAATCTACTTAATTTACCTGACCACAGGTTTTCCTCTGTTTAGGCCTCGGTCTGTCCTTGTCTACCGCCTGTAAAAGATACTAACGGGACCCTGGGGAGCTCAGGGTACAAACGCTAGGGCACACAAAATGAAATCAATGGAGAGCACGTATCACTGACTGCAGCAGTAACAACCACCTTCTCTGACCCGGAAAAACACTGTCTACTAGGAATGCATGACATGAGATACCGTACTATGCAGAGATGTACTTTTAGGCATTTCCTTTCTGACAGCTTCTGTCACCCTTTTTTTCACCTGTGGAACACAGAACATTATGAAGCAACAAACCCAGAGCACACCACTGTCACAGAGACTTGTAGGGGCTTTTTAGAGGAGATGTGTATGTCACTTCTATAAGTGATCACAGAAGTTATTCACCAACTTCCCAGAGTTTAGAAATTAAGGAGTAAACAGAATAGGCAATATGGTATCTAAAGTGTCATATAAAACAAACACGTAGCTCTTTTTTAGTGCAAAGAAATATGGCAAGTAAGAAATAACACTATAAATCTTTTTTTTCTTTAAAAGAAAATGTGTTTATGCATTCACAAAGTCCATTAAGGGCACTGGGATACTGGAAACCTGAATACACAAGGCCAGGAAAAACATCAAGGCCTTAAATCCACTCCTCTTTGTATATATATTGAAATTAAGTGGGAAAAATAAGAAAAACCCTTCCTTTAATTTTATTTTATTTGCAAAGGAAAAAAATGAAAATGGATGAATGTCACTTTTACAAAATACAAATTCTTATCCACAATTGTTTACTGTTACCTGAAATAAGAATTCAATGAAATCTTCTCTATGATGTCACATAAAAGTATTTATCTATAGTTTTATGTGTGTGTGTATAAATACACATACAAAAAGAAGGGAAGATGGGATTTTTAAATAATCACAGAACCTAGTGGCCAGCACTGTAATATTAAAATCTACCAAATAATTACTTAGCAGCAAAATGAATAACCTACTGACCAATAAACTAAGCTCTAAATTGCCCTAAACTAATCAACTCTATTTTACAGATAACTGCACAAAGCATTATTATACTAAGAGTTACGGGTCTGGATAGAATCTCAACCAAACATTAACTCATTCTTCTGTTTCTGGGGGAAAAAAATTAAATAATTCTTCCTTTCAAAAACCATCTCTTCAACAGAAGAATGATTTGATATTGTACCAGAGGTTAATCATAAAACTAAAATTTAAATATGGGTCTAGATCGTTCAAAAATTATTTGGAAGTATTAAAGGAAAGAAATGATGATTGTAATTTTCCTTCTCCCCATTTCTTTGCATATAGAATTCTCAAGAAAAAATTAGGAGTTTGGTTATTTTTTTTAATTAGTAATATAAGCAATCAAGTGTGAATTGACCACAGTGCAAAGATACTTCTCAATATAAACTTCTATGTGGCCTTTCAAAAGAAGGATGGATGAGCACGGTCTTATCCATGTAAATATAAGTAGATAAAGTACAGTTAATGAAAGTTCATAGAGTATTCCATTAGTTAATCTAGACATACACTAGAGCTTTATTCTAAAAACAAAATACAAAACTAATAATACTGTTGTCATTATCAAATATCAAGTAATCTATAACATATTTTGCTATTTCTATTATCTTCAAGAAAGCTGAGTTAGAAAGAATGAAATCAAAGTTCATGTATTTTTCTGCTAGAAATGATAATACTGAAATTTGATTAACTTTTTAAAAATTCCTCTCTATCTATCAAAGTCAGGTAACGGTATTTTTCAGAACAACCAGCAAACCAACAAGAGATGAATATGAGTTCAATGAAAGGATTGTTTTATCTCCAAAGTCTGCCAAACCAAATATCCAGAGATCTAAACTTATGATTGAGACCATCATGTAAGTAACAAGTCATTATCAATGAAGTAACTCTAAATTGAAAAATCAAACACATCTTTACATTTTCTAAAACCAGCTGAAAAATATTTTTTAAAAAAATATCGTATCTATCTTCGATTCATTGGATATTCAAATGTGGGGCTTGGAAATTCCACAACACAGCTGGGGCATGAAAATAAGCTTATCAGACAAGCTAATTCAGCTGGGTGGGGAGGGCGTGGAGAGGAAAGAAGGTGGAATTTAAATATGTGAAATCCATAACTGGAAATTAAGTTTTACTGTTTGCAAGTCCCCATCAAAAGTGTCTGAGTCCAAGAAAACCTTCATCTCGATAATGGGAAGACATGATAAAGGGGGAAATGTCCCGGAGAAGACCCCACCACCAAGACACTGAGTACAGGTGGTGGTTCCAAAGAAGCCTTGGGAAACTGAAATCTCTGCTTACCTGTTTTCACTGTGATCTGAAGAACTCATAAAAACCTTTTATTTAAGAGTTCATAAAACTAAAATTGCAAAAGAAGATGAGCCTGTTAAATAGTTAAAGCTCTAAGTGGTCAGCTACTAACTGACCAGATGGTCAAGATAAACCATTATTTCTCACGGGGTGGAGAGGTCACATGGTCTAAGTAACTCAACACAACTAACCTGAAGAAGCATCATGACCTAAGAAGCATGTTCTCGTCCTTCCCCAGTTTTGACATCTCACCGCACCACTGCAGGTTACATGTGTTAACATTAAGCAGAGGAATGTACTCATATCAAAAGGACCACAAAGCAGGGCATATTGACAGAAGGCAAACGACAGGCAGGATGAGCTGCTCTACTGGAATACAACGATCACTATACATAGCCCAGATTCTCCATCTCATTCCTATACCGCTGTTCAGACACCTTGCTTTTATGTTGCTTGCTCTCTAAATGATGCCGGAACTCCACCTCTTCGCCAGCCCCAACGTTACACATGGAGCAGTAAAACTGGCCACTCGGAGTGACGCACATGGCCAGATCACGGGGAATTCTCTGCCGAGAGCGACGATTGAAGTACGGACCTCCTAAAGCGAGACACAAAAGTAATGTGTTCACTTCAAAACATTCACTAAATGAATGGCAGCAGTCTGATTAATTATAATTTTGACTTTTTTCCTAAATTAAAATTATAAAATTTACAGATTCCTACCTTCAAATGAATGTGAAGTTAATGCATTTTTTTAAATTACAATATTGTAAAGGCTCAATCTAAAAACTAGTATGATTCGTCCAACTATTGTCACAAAGATTACTATAGAGCCAAAACCAAAGTCTAAATGCCAATGTCTCTAAAATGTAAATACTGTTTTAAAATCATTTAATTTCCCAGCATTATACGAAGTTTTACAATTATCCTAACCCTTTAATCCAGAAATTCTATTTCTAAGAATTATCCTAAGAAAAATATTAAGAATGTTTACATAAAGATTTATCAACAAGGACATTTATTTCATCAGCATTTACAAAAAGTTTTTTCTGGGAGTGGGTAGGGAAAGGACAGTTCCAAAAGTACAACTTAAAGAATTATGCTTAGGACTATAATGGAAAACCATGCAGTCACTAAAAATAATGAAAACACTATGATTCCATGAAAATGTGATTATAATATGCTATTAAATGAAACAAGAATATCACAAACTATTATCACAAATTCTATTTTTAAGAAGCAATATGAAGAGTGGAATGACATATAAAAATGTTGGTGGAATTACTGATCATTTTATTTTCTTTTTATATAATTGACTTAAGTTAGGCCATTTATTTATTAATTTTATGGTTTTCTTTTCTACTGTAATAAATATTTCAGGCTTTTCTCAAACTATTACTTTTACTACATCCTATAAATTTAATATATTTTTATTACTGTTTGGTTCTAAGAGTTTTTAATATTCCATATAATTTCTTCTTTGACCCATGATTTATTTAAAAATCTTTTAAAATTTCCAAACAGCTGAAAATCTTGTGGGGTTTTTTTTTAATATTTTTGTTATTGACATCTCATCTGATTGTCCTCTGGTCAGAGAACATCACCTAAACCGCCTTCTGACCTAAAGCTCCTTTTATCTAATATTAATACAACTACCTCCGCTTCCTTCCTCTCAGCTCATTTTTTAATCTGTTCTTAAAGCCTCTGTATTTTAAGTGGTAATTTAGTAAATTTATATTTGTTGTTAACTACTGATATATGTTCAGGCTTTTATTAATTACATTATATTACTGTTTCTATGTGTCCCTATTTTCTATGCTACTCTTACCTTTCCAATGAACTTTTTTTAAGATTTATTTATTTTTAAAGAGAGGGGAATGGAGGGAGAAAGAGAGGGACAGAAACATCAATGTGTGGTTGCCTCTCACAGGCCCCCCACTGGGGACCTGGCCTGCAACTCCTGGCATGTGCCGTGACTGGGAATCAAACCAGTGACACTTTAGTTCAAAGGCTGGCACTCAAAACATTGAGCCACACCAGCCAGGGCTGTTCTTTTGTTCACATGAATGACCTGTGCTGGTATGTGTATACACTGGGGGATGGAGTAGGAGGAGGGTGAGGGGCTACTGAGTCCTATTTTCCATCCTGAAGACAACCAGAAAAGGCAGGAAACATTCCTATAAGCTAGTTGACCTGAAGGTGTGTATAGCAGAATCACTGAGGAAGCATTTTCAAAACACATGTGCGTCTGGGCCCTACTCCAAATTCACTGACTGAAGATCTCTAAGTCCTGGTGCAGGCATGTGTGTTTCACAAAAACTCCCCTTCTGATTCACTACCCTGGTTTAATGCCATCGCTACAATGTTTTTTTTCCCCCACTATATACAGAATTAGCATGGTACAACTTCAAAACTAAATAGTGCATTTTTATAATGATGTTACATTTCTCAGCTGGCAAATACCAGAAGAAATACAAAGGAACTATGATAAAAAGATCTTAAAACATAAAAACTATAGTTTAAAAACAAAATGAATATACTAGATAGAAAATAAATCACTAAATGAAACCTGAAATAAATACCAGCTTGAAAAGCCACTAGACCAATTCAAACAGAACAACAGCTTACCCCAAATTCTCAGAGTTATCTATTACCATTAAAAGAAATAAAAGTAAAGGAGACCATTTGTAGAATGTAGCCAAGGCATGTGGAAATCCAGTGGATACCTGAATTATTCTGTACTGTATACATATTTCTCCTATTAGGCATCATTTTATATTCATTCCCTTCTTTCCGGGTCCGCCGCTGACCTGCCTCTGAAGACTCCCTGGAGGAAAGAAATTTTAAAAGAGTGAGAGTTCTAAACCAGGATCCATTTCAACTCCTTCCCTCTACAGTCAGTCTCACACAACACTGTGGCCTCAGAAAAAAAGGCAATACCTACGAGAATGAGTTACTCTGAGCTTCCGCCAGCCGCAGCCTCTTGGCGTGATTCTTCCCTTGATAGTGAGCCTGAGCCACTGCGGGAGAACTGAAGGAGGCATCGCAGAGCTTGCAATAATCGTTCTCCGTGGCCAGGATCACTCTGCCTCCTGGCTTAAAGGAGCCCATCTGACAGCAAAGATGTAAGAAACAAGGTTAAAAAAAACACCTGGAGCTTATTCCCTTCTTTTCCTCCAAGTTCCTTCTAAGGCACTTTGTGAATTAGTCATGGTTTTGCAGGACAATAATCAGTGTACCAAAATAACAAATGGCTCATTGCTATCTCCAATAAAAAAATAAAAAATAAATAAAAAACTTAAAAACCCAGCATGGAAGATACAGGGCAGTATAGGTAAAGCCTAGAATCACATTGTCAGAAAAAGTCAAGTCGGCCCAGAATCCATCAACAAGCACTTACTGAACATCTACTGTTAATAAGGCTTGTTACTTAATGCAGAAGCTGTGTACAGACATATATTTTTAAAAATGAGCCTTTGCTCAAAGAGTCCACAAACTAGCTACAGATATAATTATAATTATATAATATTATTATAATTATATTATAATAATATAATAATAATACTATATAATGGGGAAATAACCAGCAGATCCAGTCAGTTACATTCAGGTTGAGAAACAACAAGTTAAGGGAAACCTAACATTGTGCCCAAAAGATAGTATCCGCTCAAATGTTTTTGGGTTAAAAACAACAAACTAGGTTTTGTCTGGAGGAGAATAAAATATACAAGAGTCTGGAAAGCATATCATATCAGGACTAGCTGAAAGAAGTAGCACTGTTTCTTTCACCTGGAAGAGAAGATTTCTGGAGACAGGATAGCTGTCTTCAAAAATCACAAAGGGCTACACTGTGAAAGGCGGCTAAGGCTGTTTGCCGGGAAGGGCGGAGCTGGCTGAAAACAGTCCCCAACGGGGAGCAGCCACCTCGTTCTGGGGCAGCCTTCAGGAACTAGTCCTGTGACAACTACACTGCCTGAAGAGCATCCCAGTAACGTTCCTGTCCTCTAAATCGGTGTTCAACATAGCTCACTTACCCCCACGAATTCTTGCAGATGGAGGAATAGTTGGTATTTCTATCCATACCTTAGTACTGGAAACTAACATGCAGAAAAATAAAATGTATACTATGGTGGTTGTGAGTAGAGGTCTAAGATCAGAAACAATTCTTGCCCCACCACATGTAATGCTGTGGACAAGTTACTGTATCGAGCTGGCCGGAACTTCTAACAAACCTCCAGGTGAGATGGATGTAGCTGGCCATGGCCACACCTCCCAGTGAGAAGGCCAGGCCTTCTAAGTTACTGCGAGCACCAGGTGAAGTCAGCGCCCAGGTCTAGACCCAGGCGAGGCAGGCACTTGCTATGAGCAGGAAATTTAAGGGAGCATCGAAACACTCAGCAATCAAAAGAAATAATATTCTAATGAAACAGTTTAATAAACTAGATCAAGCCTAACACAAAAAAAATCAATGAGGAACAAAATATCAAATTTTTAAATAAAGACAGGATCAGTAACTGTGCCATACTGCTGCCTGAGGCAAAAGGAAAATAATACCCTGTCTTTAAGTTTTGACCTTTTGTTCACTATTGAATTGTTTATGTTAATTCTGAATATTTTAAATATTTATCTTGACTACTGAGGTTTTTTTCCTCCCCCTTATATTGCGGGCATGGTGAAGTGTATCCCTCTCATGACCCTAATCCCGGCCCGGAATGAAATGATGCATGAAAAGTGCTTAGCAGAGTACTTGGCACAGTAAGTACTCGATTAGAGTTATTGTCTACGGCCACTGTACTGTTCTAAGGACAAATCATACTTCAAAGGCAGGTTAAGGAGTAGAATCCATATGTCAGAGGCTATTCAAGTACCGGAATATCTTGCTCGAAACACATGTTCTATCTTTCAAATAGTGAAAGGAACTCCACTTTTAACCAGAGAGACTTTACACAGGTTCTCTGCAGAGGAGTTAAAAAAAGGACAGGGGTTAGCAATCTCAGGAAACTGATCTTAATGGAAGGCAAAATTTAAACTAATGGCATTAACAACAATAAAGATATGTTTTAAAATTTCTTGTTCTATTCAGGGTTAGTTGGTTTTTATTCTAGCTTAGCCCTAGACGCTGAGGGCCGTTTGAGCCAGAATTCTGAGAAATGTGTAGCAAAAGACTCACGAAACAGTAAGTGTTACATCATTTCATGCATCACAACCAAAGCCAATGAGAAATCTGAAGGTCTGTGGATTTTGCATGTGCTAAATCCAGCCCTGTAGTTCAAGGAGTTTTAAAAGCACTGACGGGACCTTTCAGGAGTATCTGCCCAATTGTGCCTTAATGGGCAAGACAAAGATGATAACTACCCCCGTGACCATCTGTGCACAGGTCGGCTTTCACCCTGAGACACGTCTCACCTGTGGAGGGACAGGAACGGCTGGGGTGGCCACAGGTTCTACCGCGTTGCTCATTCTGGCAGGAGGAGGACAGCTGTTCGCTGCATAGTAATTTCTGAGTTTCTTACCATGATTTTTACCCTAGAAGTAAAATGAAATGGGTACTCACCACAGGGACAAATATGTCAAGTTAATATATTCACTTAAAAGTGGGAAAAAAAGGAAGAAATACAAGCAACACTAACTACATTTTATTCTTTCAGATACAGGCAACACTGGGATAAATAGACCACTAGCTAGATTTGATTACTTGATCTTAAGTAAAAGTCTATCCTTTGGTCCTAAGAGGATAATTAAATTTATCTGAGAAGGATAAGAGAATAAAGCCAAAAGAAATTAATTTCCTATATATTTCTAGAAAAGTATCACATTTTCCAGCAATCTCCATTCTCCCTAAACTTGCCATTCACACCCGACTGCCTAAATACGAATTTCATGACACTATGCTCTAATCTACTTTATAAATCTGTAATAAAATGGATAAACCAATTCTTTTTTTACAAAAACACCTCTTACAGAGCTATTTTACTTTGTGCATTACTATATTTGCTGCTCACAAAACTCCAGTAGGATGAATTTGTTAATATTATCCACATATGTAACGGCTGAAAAGCTGCAACCCAGAGCGCGTGGGGGACTTGCGGCCAACACCTGCAGCAGGGCTGAGCGGTGGGGCCAGGGCTGGCGGCAGGCCTTCCAAGCCCCAAGCAAGGCCCTGTTTCTCCACAGCGTGATGGCTTCAGGACGCACAGTGAGCCTCTACTAAAATGGATTTGCTTCTCTGTTATGTCTCCCTTAAGTCATTATTCACGTGACTACATTCCTTCAATGGATACAAAATGGTGGGAAGGCTCAGTGATCTAAAAGCACTCTAAATGAGGGTAACAAAGTATATTATCCTTTAAACTACCTCATAAAAACCAAACTTGTTGACAAACATTTATTCACCATCTAGTATATGCTAAGCCCTAGAAACAGGACTATCACATGCTCCAGAGGTGACAGATAACATATTAACTAAAGTAATGAGCTAAGTGCCACCTTCTGACCACCAGAATGCCCTAAAGGTGCCCTGACCACCGTCACAGTGACCTTCAGGGGGTCAAATTCAGCCGTCGTACCTCTGCCTTTGTCGTATTTGAACTCAGAGCAGCATGACACAACTGACACTCTCTCCATCTACTGTCTTCTGTGACTTCCTCTTACACCCCTGTCCCTCAGTCTCTACACGCTACGGTGTCCCAACCCTGCTCTCACCTCTCTTCTCTCTCCATCTACACTCAAACTCTGTCATTTTATCCAGTTTCAGTGCTTTAAAATATAATCAGTAAGTTGCTGACTCCCGAAATTATCTATCTCCATCCCTGTTAAGAACTCCATGTTTGTGTCCTGCCAAATATCGAATACTGAAATCTAACCCCAATGTGACAGCATTAGGAGCAGAGGCCTTTAAGAGGTAACTAGGTCTGGAAGGTGTCCCTTTATGAAATACACACCAGAGGTCCCCCTCACCCTCTACCTGCCACGTGAGAGTACAAGGAGATGTCAGTGGTCTGCAGTCTGGAAGAAGATTCCCCCTAGAACCCAGCCGAGCTGCACCCTAATCTCAGACTTCCTGCCTCCAGAACAATGTGAAATAAGTGTTCCTTGTGTAAGCCACCCAGCCTCCAATCACTGGTTATAGCAGCCCCAACAAACTGAGACAATCCCTGACCTTCAGAGCCACCTGTCCAACTCACTTCCTGCCATTCACACTTGGCAGTCTCAAGAGGCATGTCCAACTTAAAATATCTGAAAGGTAATTTTTAATTCCTCCCCCACAAAGCTTTCTCATTGCTGTTACCACCACTAGTCATCTGTGTGGCAGTTACTCTGGCAGAAAAGCCAAGGGGTCCTTTTCTTGATTCTATCCCTCCTTAAAACCAACACATCTAGTCCATCAGCCAGTCCTAGCAGCCTACCTTGAAAATACATCCTAAGTCATTCCACTTCTTTCTATGGACATTACAAATACCACAGAATCCAAGCTACCAACATGCTCCACTTGCAGCAACCACTCCTACCTGGTCTCTGCTCTCCTCTGTCCCCCTGCAACTCTCCTCATACCCTCCAGAAAGACCATTCCAGACATAAATCGGATCTGACTTTCTCTCACGTAAAATCTCCCAACGGTTTCCCGCTACACTGGAAATCAACACATCTTACCCATAAAGCCCTACGTGATCCGACCCTGCCCATGTCTCAGATTTTATTTACACAGCTCCCCTTCCTGCAGCTCATGATGCTCCTGACCCACTGGCCCTCCTTCTGCTCCTCACATGATAAATTCGTGTTAGCTCCAGGCCTTTGTATTCACTGCTCCAGCTGCCCAGGATGTTGCTCTCCTTTCAGACCGCTGCATGGCTGGTACTTTCTGATCTTTCAGGTCTCGACTCAAACAGCATCCCACTCAGTCTGAAGTCAGGCCCCTCCACACACACTCTATCCCATTACCACAATATCTAAAATAATACTGTTTATTTCTTTTCTCTCTCCAACCCCCTGAACTGTAGACTCCTTAAAAAAATAAGAACCCTGTCTGTCTGGTTTACTGTTCTAGCCCTAATGTCTTCAACAGTTTCCAGCATGTAGCAGGCAATAACTAAATATTTGTTGGATAAATGAATCAATAAGCATAATGTAGTTAACAAACTGCTAGAACACAGAGAAGGAATTTCTTACTTCTGCCTGAAGGTGCCAGGTATGACTTTCCTGAAAAGGGGACATGCAAATCATCTTTTAAAAAATGTTGACCAGGCAGTTGAGGAGTGAGGGGAGAGAAATTTGTGAACAGAGGAAATAGTGTTGAGCAAAGACCCAGCCGGCTGGAGAGAGGGTCTTCAGGATCCTTTAGAGGTAGGAGTTGAGACACATGCAGGGGTTGGGGGGACTTCAGAGGCAGCAGGGGATCTCTTAAGAAATTTAAGCAAAGTAATAACATGATTGGATTTCATTTGATAAAGAGTATCCTGGGATCAGCATGAGCAATAATTTAGTGTAATTCAAAGTTAGAAGCTGGGAATATAGAGAAGACAGCCAAAGACAAACCCCCAGGCACTAAAATATAGAGTACAGTAGAGGATGAGGATCCAGAAAATGAGATGAAACTGTTTGGCCTACGAAGTAATATGAAAATCAAACAAGTGCAGTATCATGGAAGCCTATAACGAGGTGATTCAAAACAAGAATCTGGTTAAATACAGTATAACCCAGGAACTCTACTTCTAAGTAGTATCAAACAGAAACATCTGAGGGGATATGTATAAGAATGTTCCCAGAAGGACTGTTTCTAACAACTGAAAATGGAAACAACTTAACTATCCATCTACCACATAATGGTTAAATTGTAGTCTACTCATAAAATGGAACACTATATACACAGTGAAACTGATAGTAACCAGAGGGGAGGTGGGAGGGGATAATGGGGGCAAGGGGGAAGGGTTTTCAGACACATGTATACAGGACACATGGACAAAGCCAAAGAGGGGTAAGGGTCGAGGGTGGGAAGTGGGGATGGCTGGGGTGTGGGGGAGTGGTGGGGGGAAATGGAGACAACTTCACTTGAACAACAATAAAAAATGTAATAAAAATAGCCCTGGCTGGTATAGCTCAGTGGATTGAGCGGGGGCCTGTGAACCAGACAATTGTGGTTCAATTCCCAGTCAGGGCACATGCCTGGGTTGCAGGCCAGTTCCCAGCAGGGGACGCATGAAAGGCAACCATACACTGATGTTTCTCCTCTTCTCTCCTTCCCTTCCCCTCTAAAGATAAATAAATTAAAAATCTTTAAAAAAATGTGATAAAAATAAAAATAAAAGCTAGTTATACATAAAAAATAGAAAGAAAATAAACACTCTAGGGTCATGCATGACAACACAAATAATTCTCATAACAAAATGTTGAATAAAAAGAATAAGTTGCAAAGGTATTTAAGAATATTTTTTTTTTCACTACGGAGGTTAAAAACATGAAGAAAATCATTGCACATTATATTGGAAAATGCGTGTGTGGCAAAAGTACAAAACAAGTATACAAACAAGAAATACCAATGCAGCATAGTGGCTACATCTGGAAGTTAGGAAAGGATACAGTTGGGAATGGATTGGGGTGAGGGGCTTCAAGTGAGCTGATAATTTTCACTCTTTAAACTAGACAGCAAATGCACATGTGCATTATATTATTTTAGGCCTTTTTTTTGTGTCTGAAAGACTTAATTTAAAACAATAACCAAAGATGGAGAGGCTCATCAGGTCAAATGCTACTGTGGGGTCAAGACACAGAAGTTAATGCTTGGGTTTGAAAAGCTGGATGCCAAGAGTAACTTGGTAAGAGCCACTTCAGTAGAGCAGCGGGGGAATAAAAGGTGTACAAGTAGCGTAAGGAGACAGTGGGAGAGGGGAAAATGGAGACAACCACTACAGGCAACTCTTAAGAAGACTTCTTCTATGACAGGTAATAGAGAAACAGGGGAAGTAGAATATAGAGTTAGAGGGGGACATAGATCGGTAAAAGATTTTTTTTAAAGAGAGAGGTGTGAGAGAAACTTTGATTAGTTGGCCCTCACATGCCCCCAGTTGGGGACCCAGCAACCCATGCATGTATCCTGACCAGGAATCAAACCAGCGACCTTTTGTTTTGCAGGATGACGCCCAACCCACTAAGTTACATCAGTCAGGGCAAAAGATTTTTTTAAAGATGGGCTTTATTTAGGCTACTTTGCATGACAACATGAGGAAGTGGTGGGGGAGGGAAAGAACAGAACAGATGATGCAGACTCTACAGCAGCACCATCCATGAAAAGGCAGAAGAAGATGAGATACACAGTACTAAGGGCGGGGTCAACTTCAGACACTATCAGTATCTTATTCTCAAAACAGTATCCGCAGTGCTATTCAAGTTGATGTTGCATCCACAACATAATGATAAGAATGGCAACTAAAATTTCCTGAGCACTTATGTGACTGATACTGTTCTAAACAATTCATAAATATTATCTCATTTAAGCATCATGAAGTTTCTATCAATTAGGCATAATTATCATT